TTCCTTCCCTTTCTGCCCTCTTCTTCCCTCCTTTCCTTCCTTTTACAGGGTTGATACATAGCTCAGGTTGGCCTCAAACAGAATCCCCCAGGGTCAATCCCCATAAGTGCTGCTCCATCCTAGCAGGCCTAGAAATGGTTCTTAAGGGAAAATAATGACATCTGTTTAATGTATATCTGATAATTGCTAGGTATTCTAGTTGATTTTATGCTGTCTCCAACCCTTTTAACAATTATCCAAGAAAACCCTAGTAGTTATTTCATTCTGTTCTTAATTTTTTCAACACATTATACAAGGCCTATGATGTAATTCATCTGCCAAATGTAGAAACCAAACCATAGGTTAAGAAAACTGTAATTTAGGGCTGGGAAGGTGGCTCAGTGGTAGAGCGCTTGCCTTGCATGCATGAGGCCCTGGGTTCCATTCCTCAGCACCACATAAGTAAAAAGAAAAAAGCCGGAAGTGGCGCTGTGGCTCAAGTGGTAGAGTGCTAGCCTTGAGCTGAAGAGCTGAGGCACAGTGCCCAGGCCCAGAGTTCAGGCCCTACGACTGGACCCAAAAAAAAAAAAGAAAAAGAAAAAGAAGAAAACTGTAATTTAGAATAAAAACACAGTTACTTAATTTGAAATAAGTGTATATGTTTGTATGACTGATAGCTATAATAAGATGTCCAGTTTGAAAGGTTTCTTTTTTTTTTTGAGTGAGATGCCCTATGCTCTTGACAGTTTAAGAGAAGTTTCCTGGGGCTGGGAAGGTGGCTCAGTGGTAGAGCGCTTGCCTTGCATGCATGAGGCCCTGGGTTCCATTCCTCAGCACCACATAAGCAAAAAGAAAAAAAGCCGGAAGTGGCGCTGTGGCTCAAGTGGTAGAGCACTGGCCTTGAGCTGAAGAGCTGAGGGACAGTGCCCAGGCCCAGAGTTCAGGCCCTATGACCAGACCCCGCCCCCCCCCCCCAAAAAAAAGAGAGAAATTTCCTGTAAGACTTAAGACTTCCTGAGTTATGAACTTGAAGAGATAGGAATTGGCAAAGTTATTCTGAGTGGAGGAAAGAACATGGAATAAATCCAGGAGACTGAATGTGTAAGGAAAAGAGAAATCATTTGATTTGGTGAGAAGGAAGGTACAATGAGGTAGAAAATGAGCCTGGAGCAAGAAAGTAATTTTTTCCTTATTGTATAAAGAATGAGTCTAGAAGAACTGTGTTTGCCAATTGTGTGCTACAGTGGATTACAGTAGACAGTGATTTGTTGGTAGGCAGATCTGTTTTTTTAAGTTTTTTCTTTAAAATTTTTTATTATTATAAAAGTGATTACAGAGAGATTACAGTTATATAAATCAAGTAAAGAGTACATTTCTTTTTGGACAGTGTCTCCCCTTCCCTTGCTCTCTCCCAGTTTTTCCCTCCCATTCCCACCCACAAGTTGTCTAGTTCATTTTCAACATAATGTCTAGTGAGTACCACTGCTGCATTTGCTCATCCTTTGCCCCTCCATCTCTGTGCCCCTCCCTTTGCCCTCCTAAAGACAGGAAAATGAACAAACTAGACAAAAAGAAAAGATAACTAAAAAAACAGAGGAAAAAAAATAAAAACCTCTTCTTTCCATTTCCAGGCAGATCTCTTTTAAAGTATTGCAGTAAATAATACAGTAAGAGCTAAAAACTGGAATTATTGTAGCAAGAACAGAATTTGGTAGAAAAGAGGGGACTAAAAATAATATATACATAGTTTCATGTAGGCAAACACTATTCTAAGAGTTCCACATATGTTAATATATTCAGTTCTCACAAAAAGATCTATGAGATGGGTCCTATTACTAATTTCAGTTTTACTGATGAGGAAATTAGATGGGACATCTCAGGATTCGATTGAAGGATAATATTTATTTCTAGATTTGTTATAGAACACGAATGCAGGGAATACTGTGAAACCATAAAAATTTGTGCCCTACAATGATGTCTCTTTCTTTGAAAGGACACTCAACATTATTAAACAAGCTTAAAGTCATATCAAGCTTTCTTTGCATTTTTGTTAGCATCAATTAGCTGTTCAGGGAGTTTCATTTTGATGTGTTTTGTGTGCATACAATGGGCTTTGATGGGACTCACCCATTCCCTTACTATCTCTCATCCCTCTCTTTCCAGACTGCTCTTAACAAGCTTCATTGCCCTATTTTGCACACTTTTAAGCTTTTTAATGAAGTTAAGTAACATACACATTTCCCATCCTTAACCAAAACTCGTACTGTAAGAGTAGATATGGTTAATAGCTTGGTAAGTATCATTCTAGTTATTTTCTTAGGCACATATAAACATAAGTAGATAGATACAAGATTTAGAAGCCTTATAACAAAGGACAAGTGTTACTCTATTCTTTTTTTACCTCTTATAAATACTTTCTACTTAAAATAATTTGAATACAAAGTGCCTAGTTACTTTGTAAAATACCTATATTTGAGTCCACTATATGCCCTGTAAGTTTTATATGAAATCAGAGTTATAAATTAAATACCTGTGGAAGAAAGAGATCATAAAACGAAAGAAAAAAATGCCATCAGCAATGTCTGTGGAAGAAAAACACCATCCTTAAATATAGCCTCGGTTCACTGTCTTAGGAATTACTAAAACAAAACAATTACTAAATTGCGGAATGTTTGCCATTGTAACACTTTAGTCACTATCATTCTGTACATTCCTTTGGTTTGTAGACGGTATGTTAGAAAAAATAAAGAATTCTTATTTAGCCTGTGTGGAAAAAGAAAAAGGAAAGAACGAGCTAATTATTAGCCAATCCAAATTCAGTTGTTCATTTTATGAATTGATCATGTCTTTTTCCATCTTACTACCTATAAGACATATAGCGGGGCACCAGTGGCTCATCCTGTAATCCTGGCTACTCAGGAGGCTTAGATCGGAGGATCACAGTTCAGAGCCAGCCTGAGCAGAAAAGTCCATGAGACTCTTATCTCCAATAAACTACTCAGAAAAGGCCGGAAGTGGTGCTGTGGCTCAAGTGGTAGTAGGCTAGCTTTGAGCACAAAGAGTCTCAGGACAGTGCCCAGACACTGAGTTCAAGCCCCAGGACTGGCAAAAAAAAAAAGGTTCAGGGACAACGCCCAGACCCCAAGTTCAAGCTCCAGGAAGGGCAAAACAAACAAATCCACATAGACATACTTCAGTTGAAAGGTTTGACATGAAGAACTCTTGCTGCTTATTACTAACTAGCTCTAATAGAGAAGATGAGACTATGGTGCAGTGGAGCTTTGGGGCCTTTTAAAGGCCTTTTAATTTTGTACTGTTTCTATTTAAGGAAGCTCGCTCATGCAACTTAATCTTTGATTGGTCTAAAAACTCTTTATTTCAAAAATCTCTTACTAAGCAAATACAAAAGTTGGATAGTTTCCACTAAACATCTTTCACCAAGCATAGTAAGTGGATAATTTTATAAAACTTGATGCTTATATGTCTCACTATGCATCTAAACAGCCCATTTGTTGAGGAACTCTAAGAGACTTCCTAAGATGAAATGGAATGTCTCACACATAAAGGGGGACCTGTCAGAGCTGACTAAGTACACTTAGGTCACCAGTAACTACAGATGTAAAAACTCAAGACTTGGTAACATGCTGGGATCAGAATGGGCAGAGTCCACAGTGACCACTTTCTATAACAGTGTTGTCCATTGAACTTTATGCAATGATAGAAAATGTTCTACATCTGTGCTGGTAATGTAGCTACTAGCTTACGGTGTGGCCATGGAGGATTTGTACAGTGGCTAGTGTGATTGAGAAACGTGTGTGTGTGTGTGTGTGTGTGTCTTGGGGTGGGAGTGGGGGGCTGTTGTGGGACTTGAATTCAGGGCCTGGGTATTGTCCTTGAGCTTTTTACTCAGAGTGCCCTACCACTTTGAGCCACAGTGCCAATTCTGGTCTTCTGGTGGTTAATTGGAGATAAACGTCTCCCAGACTTTCCTGCTCGGGATGGCTTTGAACCATGATCCTCAGATCTCAGCCTCCTGAGTAGCTAGGATTACAGGCATGAGCCACCATGTGACTATTGGGGATTACCACATTGGACAGTTCATTTCTTGAACGTATCTTTCCTTGCCTTTCAACTATTCCTCCTCACAAAGAAGACATAAGCACTTTTCTCAATGAGCATATGTTATGTAGAAAAAAAGACATAGTTAACCTTAAGATTAAGAATATAAAAGAAGCAAAGTAGGGAGGAAATGAGATGTGTCCAGCTGAGAGAAACAGAATGTAGGTGAAAATTAACCTGAGTCAAACAATGAGGTCCAGCCTTCCAGGGTAGATGTCCTTTCTGGATTTATTCTGGGGAAATGCTCTATTTCTTCACAATAGAAGCTTCACAGTAAATAATAGCCTTCCCTTACTGCCCCAGAATGTCCCCATTGTCTGTCATCTGTGAGCCTTGTTAATGCTTCTTCATTGAAAAAGTCTGTAGTCTCACTGCTCCGTGAAACCACTTAAAAAATTAAGCTAGTGTCCACTACATATAGTCAAGAGTTAATACCACATACTTTACCAGCTGTTTATTCCTTTTTCTTGAGCAAATTAGAAACTTGAAAATGGGCATTATGATTTCTTATAGAAGATTGCTGTATTTTCTAATAAAATACTCACATTCTGAAATTATTCACTGCTCAGAGCCATTAAATAGGCCACTTCCATTATTATTATTACTCATGTAATAGCTTTGATATCTCTTTGTATAATTTTTATGTTCACAAGTTAAAGTTTGTGTTATTTTTAATAAAAATGAGTGATTTACCATAGGATTTCATTAAAATAGTGGGGAACTTTCGGTATAATTCTAAAGAATTGTAAGTATGATTGCTGGGGAGTAGGAATGGATATATGAATAAGCAGTAGTAATAAGATGATGAGTTGCTATCTAACTCACAGGATGACCTGATTTTGCCGTGCTTTGTACCTTCTAACATTTATTTTTAAGAATTTTGATACTTTTTTTCCTCATAGCTTTTTGCTTCAGTGTCTTGAGGATCTTGATGCCAATCTACGAAAATTAAATTCTCGTCTATTTGTGATTCGTGGACAACCAGCTGATGTGTTTCCAAGACTTTTCAAGGTAATTTGAAAAATAATCTTTGTCAGAGAAGATAACATACTTGGTAAATAATAAGGCTCCCTTTTTTTTTGGGGGGGGGGTCCGGTCGTGGGGCCTGAACTCTGGGCCTGGGCGCTGTCTCCCAGCTCTTCAGCTCAAGACTAGCACTCTATCACTTGAGCCATAGCGCCACTTCCGGATTTTTTCTTTTTGCTTATGTGGTGCTGAGGAATCGAACCCAGGGCCTCAGGCATGCAAGGCAAGCATTCTACCACTGAGCCAACTTCCCAGCCCATCCCTTTTTTTTTTTTGTCAGTTGTGGGGCTTGAATTCAGGGTGTGGGTGTTGCCCCTGAGCTTTTTTGCTGCAGGTTATTGCTCTAAAAGTTTAAGTCACAGCACCACTTCCATTTTTCTGGTGGTTAATTGGAGATAAAAGTCTCACGTACTTTTCCTGCCTTGGCTGCCTGTGAACTATGATCCTCAGTTCTCAGACTCATGAGCAGCTAGGATTATATTATAGGCGTGAGCCACTGGTGCCCAGCAAGGCCTTTTTTTTTTTTTAAACTAATTTTTAGGGAATATAAGTACTTTTAAATGAAAATTTGTGGCTTTTTTTCTTTAATGAAAAAGTTATACATTATAAAATCAGAAATTGGACAAAGTTTACTGTGAAAAGTTAAAACTTTTTTCTACCTTAAGTTTCTGGTTGCTCTCTTAGAAGTTTCAACTATTTGCCAGTTTCCTATGTATTGAAATGGAAATATTCTTTGTAGTCACAAGAATCATATATGTATTTATATGTATATATATATGTAAATATATATCCATATATAGTGTGTGTATATGTGTGTGTTTATTTATGTGTTCCCCTTTTTGGTTTTTAACAAAACCAAAATGGTGTTCACTAGAAAGTTTATAATAGCAAGTTGGGTACCAGTAGCTCATACCTCTAATCATAGCTACTCAGGAGGCTGAAATCACACAATTCTAAGGGCCCAACCCAGGCAGGAAACTCTATGAGACACTTGTTTCCAATTAACTACAAAAAAGACTGAAATAGAGCTGTGGCTCAATTAGTACAGTGCTAGCCTTGAGTGATATATCTATCTATCTATCTATCTGTATACGTGTATGTATATATGTATATGTGTATATATGTGTGTATATATGTGTATGTATGTATATATATATATATATATATATATATATGATAGTATCTATTTTCTGGAAGTCACTGAATATATTTTCATATATATTCAATTACAATTATGTACTTAAATACAAATATGACATGTCATTTTCATATTGATAAATTGTGTATTCTTTCTGCTTTTTTGAAGTCTGAGCATCCTTAGATATATAGGTTATGATACAAAAATTACTGTATGACTAGAATGCATTATTGCCAGTTTGTGTCTTTCTCTTGTTTGAGGAATGGAACATTACCAAACTTTCAATTGAGTATGATTCTGAGCCTTTTGGAAAGGAACGAGATGCAGCTATTAAGAAGCTGGCTACTGAAGCTGGTGTAGAAGTCATTGTGCGAATTTCACATACATTATATGACCTAGACAAGTAAGATTTCGGATTTTTATTGTTTTATTTACCATTTTACCCATTTTTCTGTGTGTGTGTGTGTGTGTGTGTGCGTGCGCACACGCACGCGCGCGCCACTACTGGGGTTTGGACTCAAGGCCACTCACTTTTGCTTAGTTTTTTTTTTTTTTTTTTGCTCAAGACTGGTGTTTTATAACTTAGCCACAAGTCCACTTCCTCCAGCTTTTTGGCAGTTAATTGGAGATAAGAGTATTCCAAATTTGTCTACCTGGGCTGACTTCAAACAATGATCCTCAGATCTCAGCTTCCTGAGTAGCAAGGATTACAGGCATGAATCTTCAGTGTCTGGCTCCATCTTAACTATTAACACACTGGTATTAAGTACATAGACAGTAAGTCTTAAGTCATGGGACTTAAGTATGTAAAATACACATATATCATAGAATTGACATTTTATTTAGCTGATATTTTTTGTTCACCTAATAACTAAGTACCAAAATTATAGCCATGGTACATAAGATAAAAATCCTTAGTATCAGTTTCAAAACGAATACTACCCAGAGGTGGTTGAGCTACTGGCTCAATTGATTGAGCACTTGCTGAGATGCACAGGACCATGGGTTTCATCTGCAGGACCACAAAAATAAAAACTAGAGCTCCTACTCAGACTCCTTGTCTTTCTAGGGTGTTAGTGTACTATATAGAAGTTTTTTTCTATAGTTTTCATTTTGTTACTATCATGTAGTAGCAGTATAGAATCACTGTAACCAATAGAAATTTTTTTTTCTTTTTTTGCCAGTCATGGGGCTTGGACTCAGAGCCTGGGCACTGTCCCTAACCTTCTTTTTGCTCAAGGTCACTGCTTTACCACTGGAGCCACAGTGCCACTTCCAGCCTTTTCTGTTTATGTGGTACTGAGTCATCAAACCCAGGACTTGATGCATGCTAGGCAAACACTCTACCACTGATCCACATTCCCAGCCATCAGTAGAAATTTCTTATCACCCTATGTATTAATCAAAAATATGATTCCATTAAGAATATTAAGCGATTCACATATTAATGAATACATGAACACAATAGAAGATAGAAAGTAGTTGTAGAATTCTACTAAATGAAACTTAGTGGAGATCTGGGTCAAAGGCTAATAAGTTGCAGATATATGGAATAAAATCTAAAGTTAATCAAAGGATTATAGTCAAGAAAATGTTATTGAATTTGGGGTTTTGTTAATTAGATTTTTAACTGCTCCTATCACAAAAAAGTATCTGACATGAAAAACATGTCAGTTTTCTTTTATTATCTATGCAGTAATACTTGTAAACCTCAAATATATACAACAAAACTTATTTTCTACTGACCACTTCTTAATGTACTTATCAGCCTGCTTTAGAGTTCTGACTGATGATGAGAGATTTCTTGAGTTAGGTCATAATAAATTTGTACATGTCCATGTATATTAATTTCTTGTTATTGTCTTTAGTTTAGCTGCTTAGTCACTTTTTCACTCATAAGATTTTAATATTTGCATACTATAGTTTTGTCACCAAATGGATGTCTAGAAAATAGAATGATTTTTAGACTCACTAATCATTGTGAACATGTTTTTCTGATGATATGAGAAGCTAACATTCTGGCAATTTGAAATAATAAATTTTCTGATTTTATGCCTTTTCAAAGCTTACCAAAGTATATTGTCATTTTTACTAACTGCATTTTACTAACTCTTGTAATAGGATCATAGAACTCAATGGTGGACAACCACCTCTAACTTATAAAAGATTTCAGACTCTCATCAGCAAAATGGAACCACTAGAGATACCAGTAGAAACAATTACTTCAGAAGTGATAGAAAAGTGCACAACTCCTCTGTCTGATGACCATGATGAGAAGTATGGAGTCCCTTCCCTGGAGGAGCTAGGTGAGTGTAAACTGTAATAAACCATAAGTTGCTCAGAAAATGTAATTTCTAGCCTGGTACCAGTGGCTCACACCTGTAATCCTAGCTACTCAGGAGCCTGAGATCTGAGGGTCACACTTTGAAGCCAGCCTGGGAAGAAAAGTCTGTGAGACTTTTTTTTTTTTTGTCGGTTGTGGGGCTTGAACTCTGGGCCTGGGTACTGTCCCTCAGCTCTTCAGCTCAAGGCTAGCGCTCTACCGCTTGTGTTTGAGCCACAACACCACTTCCAGTTTTTTAGTGGTTTATTGGAGATAAGAGTCTCATGGACTTTCCTTGCCCGGGCTGGCTTTGAACCATGATCCTCAGATCTCAGCCTCCTGAGTAGCTAGGATTACAGGCGTGAGCCACCAGCGCCCGGCGAGACTTTTTTTTTTTTTTTTGGTCATGGAGCCTGAACTCTGGGCCTGGGCGCTGTCCCTCAGCTCTTCAGCTCAAGGTTAGCGCTCTACCACTTGAGCCACAGCACCACTTCTGGCCTTTTCTGCTAATGTGGTACTGAGGAATCGAGCCCAGGACCTCATGCATGCAAGGTAAGCATTCTACCACTGAGCCACCTTCCCAGCCCTGTGAGACTCTTATCTCCAGTAAACCAGAACAAGCCAGAAGTGTCATTGTGGCTCAAGTGGTAGAATGCTAGCCTTGAACACAAAGAGACTAAGGGACAGTGCCCAGGCCCTGAGTTCAAGCCCCAGGATTGGCCAAAAAAAAAAAAAAAAAGTAATTTCTACTTGTGTCACATAAAACATTTTTAGGAAGGAAGAAGGGAGGGAGGGAGGGAAGGAAGGAAGGAAGGGAGGGAGGGAGAGAGAGAAAGAAAGAGAAGGAAAGTGGGAGAGAGAGGGAGGAAGGAAGGAAACTGAAATATTAGGAGATAAATCTGTATATTATATACATGGTCTATAAACGTGATCTGTTATCACATTAAAATATATGTCCTAGCCGGGCGCTGGTGGCTTACACCTGTAATCCTAGCTACTCAGGAGGCTGAGATCTGAGGATCACGGTTCAAAGCCAGCCCGGGCAGGAGAGACTGTGAGACTCCTATCTCCAATAAAACCACCAGAAAACTGGAAGTGGCGCTGTAGTGCAAGTGGTAGAGCACTCGCCTTGAGCTGAAGAGCTGAGGGACAGCGCCCAGGCCCAGAGTTCAAGCCCCACGACCGACGGGGAAAAAAAAAAAAAAAACATATATATATATATATATATATATATATATATATATATATATATATATATGTCCTAGCTGGGTTCCAGTGGCTCATACAGATAATCCTAGCTACTCAGAAGCTGAAATCTGAAGATAATTAATTTGAAACTAGCCCTGGGAAGGTTAATTTCCAATTAACCACAAAAAGCCAGAAGTGGAGCTGTGGCTCCAATGAGTAATATGCTAGCCTTGAACAAATAAGCTCAAGGACAGTTCCCAGGCTCTGAGCTCAAGTCCTAGGATCAGCACCCCCCAAAAAAGGAAAGAAAGAAAAGATGTGTATCCTAAAGCTAGGAACCATGTTATAGTCTTTTATAGGCCTTCAATTTTTTTTTCTGCTCTCACAATTTTTTTGGTGGGGTAGTGGGGTGGGTCATTAGCTCAAGGCTAATGCTCTACCACTTGAGCCACAGCACCACTTCCAGTTTTCTAGTGGTTTATTATAGATAAGAGTCTCACAGACTTTCCTGCCTGGGCTGGCTTTGAACCGTGATCCTCAGATCTCAGCCTCCTGAGTAGCTAGGATTACAGACGTGAGCCACGGGTGCCCAGCTCTCAAAATTTTTTTACAAAACAATTTGTGCTTCCCTGTTACTGTGGTAAAATGAAAGTTATTTTACTTTTAGCATAATTTTCCTTCTTGTTTTCTTAGGTTTTGATACAGATGGCTTATCCTCTGCAGTCTGGCCAGGAGGAGAAACTGAGGCACTTACACGTTTGGAGAGGCATTTGGAAAGAAAAGTATGATAATATAGATTACATAGCCATATTCATACTTCCAAAATGGCATTATGGAATTTTAAATACTATTTCCTTACACACACACACACACACACACACACACACACACACACACACACACACACACACACACACAGAGTATTAGGCCATATTCATACTTCCAAAATGGCATTATGGAATTTTAAATACTATTTCCTTACACACACACACACACACACACACACACACACACACACACACACACACAGTATTAGGGTTTGGACTTAGCTACATGTTGTCACAGTATTTTCCTTGGGACGGGTTTGGACTAGGATCTTTCTACTTATACTTTACACATAGCTGAAATTATGTGAACCACCTCATATTGTTTGTTGAGATGGGATCTCACTCACTTTTTGCTCCAAACCCCAAATCTCGCAATTTCAACTTTGCAGGCTGGAATTACAATCATGTACCCTCACATCTAGTCCCACATCAGTCTTTTAAAGCAAGAAATTGACTGATGAGAAAGAATGATTGACAGAGATAGCTAAAATAGCACAAACTTATTTGTTTGAAAATTAACAACTAGCTTGTCACTTAAGTCTCCTTTTCCTCCTCTTCTGATTATTTCCCTGTTAGCTACTGTATTACCTTTTCTATTCTTCTACCAAAACTTATATTAGCTAACCATACCTTTGAAGCTATCCACAAGGAATATGTTATAGGACTTCAGTGGATACCAGAAACCAGATAATACTGAACCCCATATTTAACGTGGTTTTTCCTATATATCTATGTATAGGGCAAATTTTATTCTGTTATTATCATTACTGTTAACGAATATTGATAGTACACATTAATTGGTTTACTATGATGTTCCAAAACATGCACATATCGTACATTAACCGTACATCATCCATAAGCCATGTCCATCTGCTTTCTATCCTCACCCTTTCCACCCCCATACTCTACTCATTCCTTTGTAATTATACATTCAGAGCACCTTTTTTTTTTATTATTGCTTCGATTTTATTTTATTTTTTTATTGTAAAGATACTATACAGAGGGTTACAGTTACATGAATAAGGTAATGAGTACACTCTTATTGAGCATTGTTACCCCCACCCCCTCCATTGTTTTCCCCCTACCATCCCTTCCTTCCCTACCTTCCCCGAGGTACAGAGCACCTTTTATAAAGTTTAATTTATAAGTTAGGCACAGTGAGAAAACAATAATGATAACAATAATAAATAAAAAACAATAATAAAAGGGTATGTAAAGCTTGCAAATTCCTTGCTTGTGGGATTTTCCATTTAATATTTTCCAACTGTGGGTGACCATGGATGGCTAAAACTGCGGAAGGGGCGGAGTCTGTTGTATTTCACCTTTACCACATGAAGGTCCTTCTCATTCTTGTGCTGGTAATTTATTTCACACACGTATTGGCTACATGAGTATGGCTGAAATAATTCTCATTTTTTTTTTTAAAGGCAGTTGGGGTAATTGTCTGTGTGTGTTTTCAGGCCTGGGTGGCAAACTTTGAAAGACCTCGAATGAATGCAAATTCCCTGCTTGCAAGCCCTACTGGACTCAGCCCTTATCTCCGATTTGGTTGTTTGTCATGTCGGTTATTTTACTTCAAATTGACTGATCTCTACAAAAAGGTATGGTCTAAAATTAGAGCAGATTTTTCAAAATACTTTTTTTTTTATTTTGTCGGTCATGAGGCTTGCATTCGGCCTGGGAGCTGTCCCTGAGCTCTTCAGCTCAAGGCAAGCACTCTACCATTAGACCTGCAGCGCCACTTCTGGTTTTCTGGTGGCTTATTAGAGATAAGAGTCTCAGAGAGTTTGTTTTTTCCCTAGGAGGTGTGGGAGTTGGGGAGGGAGGAGAGGGGAAGGGATGGTATGGGGAAACAAAGGAGGAGGCAACAATGCTTGATAAGAAATGTACTCACTATCTTGCCCATGTAATTGTAACCCCTCTGTATGATTATTTGCACAATTTTAAAAAAAAAAAAGAGTCTCACAGACTTTCCTGCCGGGGCTGGCTTTGAACCGTGATCCTCAGATCTCAGCTGCCTGAGTAGCTAGGACTATAGGTGTGAGCCACCAGCGCCCAGCTCATAATACTTAAAAAAAAAATGTTGATAATACTTCTTTGCTTCTTAATCACAGGTAAAGAAGAACAGTTCCCCACCGCTTTCTCTTTATGGGCAACTATTATGGCGTGAATTTTTCTATACAGCAGCAACAAATAATCCCCGCTTTGATAAAATGGAAGGGAACCCCATCTGTGTTCAGATTCCTTGGGATAAGAATCCCGAGGCTTTGGCTAAATGGGCAGAAGGCCGGACGGGTTTCCCCTGGATTGACGCCATCATGACGCAGCTCCGTCAAGAGGGCTGGATTCACCATTTAGCCAGACACGCAGTGGCTTGCTTCCTGACACGAGGCGACCTGTGGATTAGCTGGGAGGAAGGAATGAAGGTAAATGCTCTAATTGATGTGGTGTGGCCCTACTTTGAACCAATCTAGACCTTATTTTTGAGAAAAATATCCTAGAAGTTGTCTGTTGTACAGGTTTATTTACAGTCTCCTTTTTCAGTACCTATTGTTAGGTTTTTAAAAAGAGGTGGCCGAGTAAGAACAACGCCACGCACATGGTATTCAGGTAAGGGGTAGGTTTATTCATTCCAGCTGGCACCAGGCCATCTTGGTCCTCCACGTGGTGTGGAAAGGCCTGGGAAAGAGAGCTGGGAGAGCTGGGAAAGAGAGAGAGCTGGGAAAGAGAGAGAAGAGCTAGGAAAGAAAAGAGCTAGAAAAGAGAGCGTCTGGGAAAGGTGGAAAAGAGAGAGGAAAGAGAAGGGAGCTGGGAAAGAGAAGAGAAGGAAAGAGCTGAGAAAGAGCTTGAAAAGAGGAGAGAGAGCTAGAAAAGAGCTAGAAAAGAGCAGAGAGAGCGAGCTAGAAAAGAGCAGAGAGAGAGCATCTGGGCCTCGGCTAGGCCTTATCTAGGGTACGGGCAGAGAAAGGTGTGGCCACATCAAATTCAGATGTGACCTCAGAGGATGCAGATGTGACCTCTTCCAGGTGTGCCAGTTGCCTAGGTAACGCAGGTACTGGGTGGAGACTTTGCTGTAAGGAGGGTAGAGTCTGCTTTCCATCCAGGAGCGGCCCTTACACCTGTGGCATATAATCCCGGTACAGACACAGTTTGGAGGTAGCAGGAGGAATGGGGTACATTAAACTGACCTAACCATTGAAGTGACTTGAATGGTTAAACCAACCTAGCCATTAGAACATTAGGACAACTAGGAAGATTTAAAACTCTGGATTTAGTGCATATTTTTATAGATGGTTGTTTCTATACGAAAAGTGTTCACTCAAGAGTTCTTAAAAATAGTGAATTCCTAATATAAACCCTAAAATTGCAGATCTTTTTACCTCACTAAACATCTTCACCTACTAAATATTCACCTTTTCAGTAACACTTTTATCATATAAAGTGAAAAGCATACTACATTTGTAACTTCATCTTCTAGTTATACACAGCAGGATATACCTATATATTTTTACCTTTCTGGCTATATTATTATTTATCTAAGAACTATACGAGATTCTGTGGGGATTTTTTTGCCCCCCATATTTCCTAGTATAGAGAAGTACATGAAGAAGGAAGATTACATACCTACTTGATAAACATAGAAAATTATTTATTATGTTGCCTTTTAGATCAAGGAATTAGAAGTGTAAACTGGGGAATGTTGGTAAATTGTGTTTGGTTTTTTTTGAGCTGTAGCTTTGTTTAATGGTTATTGTAAAAGTGATTTACAGGGGCTGGGAAGATGGCTCAGTGGTAGAGCGCTTGCCTTGCATGCCTGAGGCCCTGGGTTCGATTCCTCAGCACCACATAAACAAAAAGAAAAAAGCCGGAAGTGGCGCTGTGGCTCAAGTGGTAGAGTGCTAGCCTTGAGCTGAAGAGCTGAGGCACAGTGCCCAGGCCCAGAGTTCAGGCCCCACGACTGGACCCCCCCCCCAAAAAAAAAAAGTGATTTACAGAGGCAAGGTTACAGTTACACAAATCAGGTAAAAAATACATTTTTTTGGACATTGTCATCCCCTTCCCTTGCACTCTCCCAGTTTTTCCCTGATTTTTCTGTAATGACCTCAGACCTTATGTGTACAAACTAATTGGTTACTGTTACTTCGAAGGTATTTGAAGAATTACTGCTTGATGCAGATTGGAGCATAAATGCTGGCAGTTGGATGTGGCTCTCGTGTAGTTCCTTTTTCCAACAGTTTTTTCATTGCTATTGCCCTGTTGGTTTTGGAAGGAGAACAGATCCCAATGGAGACTATATCAGGTAAGTCATAGTGATGATGGTTTCATGTTGAAGCAGCAGTTCACGTATTCTTCACACAAGACGGATAGCAGATATGGGATGGTTTGATCTCATTACATAGGTTTTACCTTTCTGACCACATCGAAAAATGGCCCAACCTAAATATTCTGATCTTGAGTCTTTCAACTCCTATATTCCTAATTGTACATGAAGCATAATACCTACCTCATCAATTTATTTTAAAAAGTCATTTCTTCCAGTTTTGGTTACTCATAGCTAATAGTTTGTTATAGCTTGTTCATAATGCATTTTATTAATAAATAACTTTTCTTTCTTCTCCCAAAAGACGTTATTTGCCAGTCTTAAGAGGCTTCCCTGCAAAGTACATCTATGATCCCTGGAATGCACCAGAAGGTATCCAGAAGGTAGCCAAATGTTTAATAGGAGTTAATTATCCCAAACCGATGGTAAACCATGCTGAAGCAAGCCGCTTGAATATTGAAAGGATGAAACAGATCTATCAACAGCTTTCCCGCTATCGTGGACTAGGTATGTCAGCCCCTTTTTTGGGTTTGTTTCTTTGACAGCTGTTTATTCCTGCATCTATCCTCTTTTTAATTTTTTGGCAGCACTGAGTTTAAACTCAGGGCATTGTAGCCCTATATCTTGTTTTTGTGGGGTTTTTTGACAGTGTTAGGGTTTGAACTCAGAACCTCAAATTTGCTCAGCTTGTTTGCTCAGCTAGTGCTGAGCACTATACCACTTGAGCCACAGCCTGGTCTTTGTGCTGGTTATTGCAGAGATGGAATCTTAGGAGTGTTTATTGCACAAGCTGGCCTCAAACCCCCAACCTCTGGATCTTAATCTCGAAAGTAGCTAGGATTACTGGTGTGAGCCGCCAGCACTGCCTTGCACTTTCTTTTCTTTCTTTCTTTCTTTTTATTTTTTTTTGGTCAGTTTGGGGCCTGAACTCTGGGCCTGGGCACTGTCCCTCAGCTCTCCAGCTCAAGGCTAGTCCTCTACCACTTGAGCCACAGTGCCACTTGCGGCTTTTTCTACTTATGTGGTGTTGAGGAATCGAACACAGGGTCTCATGAATGCAAGGCAAGCACTCTACCACTGAGCCACCTTCCCAGCCCTGCATTTTCTTTTGAGTATTATTTAATAGATGCCTTTTTCCCTTCAGGTCTTCTTGCATCAGTGCCTTCTAACCCTAATGGGAATGGAGGTCTCATGGGGTATGCGGCTGGAGATAACCTCCCAGGCTCTAGCAGCAGTGGAAGTAAGTGGAACAGAGTTGCTCTATGTCAGATTGTTTAGTGAACCTTACTTTCATAGGTTTTCATTACAAAATTATAAGAATAGTGTCAATGGGATCTTTGCATATTACATTCATGTGCGTGCACATCCAACCCCCCTGCGCACTGGTGACATTTTAAAGATGGACAACATCATTACATGTAGTAGGCATTGGGACAAGATAGCAGTCTTGCAAACCAAATGAGGTCTTTTTATTTTTGCCATGCTGAGGGTTAAATTGGACTTTACATATGCCGGGCAAGCACTGACCCCTAGATGGGTGAAGAATTTTAAGTTGTAAGATGGCACTCAAAATTTTTATTCTCCTGGGGCTGGGAAGGTGGCTCAATGGCAGAGGGCTTGCCTTGCATGCATAAGGCCCTAGGTTCAATTCCTCAGCACCACATAAACGGAAAAAGCCAGAAGTGGCGTTGTGGCGCAAGTGGTAGAGCGTTAGCCTTGAGCTGAAGAGCTGAGTGACAGCACCCAGACCCAGGCCCAGAGTTCAGGCCCCATGACCAGCAAAAAAAAAGAGAAAATTCTCCTGAGATGCACATCATCTATAAGGCAGTTGTAAAGCTCAAGGTTCACAATATAGTAAGGACTCAGAATATACATGTATAGGACCTCTGTACTTTACTAGAATGTGATTCACTCAGCAAATAGTTGCCAGTGATGGTAGTATACTTGAGAAATGTTCTCTCTCAGGGTCTTCTACAATCTGGAGCAAATCCCCACAATACATCATCTCCCAGTTCTTTCAGCTCTCTTATTTGGTTCACACGCCACAGCTGAGAATGAGAGGCCAAAGCTCTGTGAAGCACTGAGGTAGCCGCAGTGAGATGCATGTGCTTCCTGGTCCACTCCCATCATAGCCGTAATTTAGAGAAAACTCCAGAGCTAACTGTGGCAGCAGATTACATCGGGATACTTTTGTCTCACAAATTTACAAGCATTAGGAAGAATTAATAGTTTAATCCTTGCTTTGGAGCTAGTCGTGCTTTAAGATGCCTTTTAAAGGCATAGAAGCCAAAAAGCGCTCTGACAGTATAGTCTAGGGGAGTGAAAGTGAGAAAGACAAATGGAAACAGTGATATACTTGAAGGCTCTGGCCTCTACTGTAATAGGACAGGTCGCTGAAAGGAGTTTCAAGTCGTGTTTTCAAAAGATGATGGGTTAGGTAAAATGTGGGTAGGCAGATGGAGGAGAAACACGCTAGACTGGAAATGGGATAGTTGTGGAAACATCCTTGGAGTTGGGACTGCTCTCAAGCATTCATCCTCAACTTCCTCCTCAGCCCATCTCATTATCCGTCCACTTGCCTTTCTGTGGGCTTTTGTTGCACAGTGCTTTACAGAGTACATCACAAGGCAAGATTCTGTATGACGCTTTTCAGATTTTTAAAAGACTACAGAAAATTCTTCACAGTACAAATTGCATTTTTTTTCCTCTTGGTGCTGGGTCCTACGGCTTGAAATAAGGACCTAGGAGTTGTCCCTGAGCTTTTGTGCCACAGTGCCATTTCTGGCTTTTTGGTAGTTAATATGGAGCTGAGACTCTCATGGACTTTCCTGTCTAGGCTGGCTTTGAACTGCAGTTCTCAGATCTTAGCTTCCTGAGAAGCTAGGATTTCAGGCGTGAACTACCAGCACCCAGCCACAAATTGCAGTTTTTACTTCTCACTTTTATACTTTTGTGTGTATGTCCTCAGGAAAGTAATAAGCTACCATACAGATACCCTTGTTCTTGTTTTGGGTTTTTTGGGGTTTTTTGGTTTGTTTGTTTTTAGTCGGTTGTCGTGCTTGAACTCTGGGCCTGGGCGCTGTCCCTCAGCTCTTCAGCTCAAGGTGAGTGCTCTACCACTTGAGCCACAGCGTCACTTCCGGTTTTCTAGTGGTTTATTGGAGATAGGAATCTCACAGCCTTTCCTGCCCGGGCTAGCTTTGAACCTCGATCCTCAGATCTCAGCCTCCTGAGTAGCTAGGATTACAGGCGTGAGCCACCAGCGCCCGGCCCCTTGTTTTTATAATAAAGCAACCACAATCTGTTTCCTAGTAGTAGTATGTGTTCATTTTCACTTTCAGTGTAATTTTCTTCTACTTTAAATTGCTCATCAGTATTATTAGTCACTAAGGAAATACAGATTTCCCACGTTGTGAGCTAATGTTTGACAGCCACTCGGGGACCAGCTGTCACTGAAGATTTTAATGCTCTAGCCTGGAAAGTACCAAGCAAACAAGCAGATTGCTACCTCTGCCCTCTAGAGTGGCTAGGATAGAAATAAAAGAACCAGATGTGGTAAAAAGGGGCAAAAAAGTCACAGGTATTTTGTTGAGAGGTGGGGAATAAAACAGTTCAACCACTTTGTAAAATCAGTTTGGCAAAGCTATTCATGATTTTACTATACCCCAGAAATGTTATTCCTAAGTGAACAAGAACATACGTTCACATAAAGACTTGCAAATGGCCATTTCACTTACAAGAGCCAAAATGCACTACATGAAACAATTCTCACCAAAAGGAATAAAATACTCCTGTTGTACATAGAGTGTGCATGTGAACTTGATAAAGACATGACTGACCACAGGCTACACGAATCCATTTACATGAACTGCCCAGTAATGGGAAATCACTAAAGATTAAAAAAAAATGATTAGTGGTTACCTTGAGCTTAGGATTTAATAAGAAGGAAGAGTGGATGAAGCAGTCATGAGAGATCTTTGGAGACTGAGAAAATGTTCTAACACTGGATTGTGGTGATGGATGCACAATGCCATAGTTAACTTCAAAAAGTTCACAGCAAGCAAGATGCCTGTTCCTCACACCTATCATCCTAGCTACTCAGGAGGCTGAGATCTGAGGATCAAGGTTCAAAGCCTGTCCAGGCAGGAAAGTCCATGACACTTTTATTTCCAATTAATCACCAGAAAACCAGAAGTGGTGGTAGCTCAAAGTGGTAGAGCCCTAGCCTTGAGCAAAAAGAGCTCAGGGACAGCGCCCTGGCCCCAAGTTCAAGCCCCATGACCAAAATAATAATAATAGCAATAATAAAGTCACTGAATTATACTTAATGGAGATTGATTTTGGGGGTATGCAACTTATACTTCAAAGCTTCTAAACAATTCCTTTCACTATAGAGAATTCAGCAGAAGTCAGAGAGATATAAAAATGAAGAACAGATGTCATTCACAATTTCAGCATTAATAGTCTACTCAGATCTCCCTGGCATTACTTTCAATGTCCTTTAATGGAATTTCTGCCTTACATTAATTTTCTCAAGTGTAAAACCTGTTTGATGCTGTTGATGGTACAGGTCAATCGTGATGGACTGTGGCGTTGTCCTCTTTGTTTAGAGCAGGGTGTCTGTGCTGAAGGTCAGCTCACACTGGCCTCCAGTTTGTGATTATCCTACCCCAGCCAGCCTCCCAAGTCCTGCAAGGCATATCCCAGTGTGCCTGGCTTCAGATTTTGTAGCCCTGATAGACATCTTAGATTTTAAAGAGTTTTCCTATGTTTTAAATGCAGGTTGTTCTCAAGGGAGTGGTATTTTACATTATGCTCACGGAGACAGTCAGCAAATGCATCTGTTAAAGCAAGGTAAGAGAGCAGCATTTGAGCACATTGTGCTTTTCGCCTTTCTTATCCTAATGTACACTTCTCAAACATGTAGGGAGAAGCTCGATGGGCACTGGTCTTAGCAGTGGGAAACGCCCTAGTCAGGAAGAGGACTCACAGAGTATTGGTCCCAAAGTCCAGAGACAGAGCACCAACTAATTAGGTAAATACTTTAGAGCTTTATCTCTTGCTTTAGTACAATGTCTAATTAAATAAGATCATTTCCAAACTAGAGCTAATCTCTACTTTGAAGCCAAAGAATCATGAATCATTAGTTCTTAAGCACTTCTATACATCCACTTAGTTATTGAAAAAGAAAGCGACCTCTGTACTGGAGAAGTACTGCGTTCTGTCTACCCTCATCTCAGTGATACACATGTTTGAAAACCTTATGGCTTTGTATTCAGTTTTTTTCTTTGAAAAAGGCAAACTTTTTCCTAGGTGTTGATGAGTCTAGAACAAAGTGTCCTCTTTTTATTTCCCCCCAAATCTTTGCCTTTTCATCACTTATAAATTTATTGTATCTGCTGTGAGGCCACCAATTTTTATTTTGTTTTTTTATTTTTGTCAGTTGTGGGACTTGAACTCTGGGCCTGGGCACTGTCCCTGAGCTTTTCAGCACAAGGTGAATGCTCTACCACTCGAGCCACAGAGCCACTTCTGGTTTTCTGGTGGTTAATTGGAGATAAGAGTCTCACAAACATTCCTGCCCGGGCTGGCTTTGAACCAACCTCCTGGATAGCTAGGATTATAGGTGTGAGCCACCTGCGCCTGGCTTTATTTTATTGTCGGTTGTGGGGCTTGAACTCGGGACCTAAGTGCTGTCCCTGAGCTCTTTGTTCAAGGCTAGCACTCTACCACTTTTAGTCATAGTGCTGCTGCCTGTTCTTGAATAGTTAATTGACTGTAAGAGTTCCATGGGGACTTTTCTGCCCGGGCTGTCTTTGAACCGCGATTCTCAGATCTCAGCCTCCTGAGTAGCTAGGGTTACAGGCCTACCAGTGCCTGGCTCCTAGAATCTTAATACTTCTTCTTCTTTTTTTTTTTTAATGCTGGCCCTCTTTAGAAATACCAAAAACCAGTTTAATTGGCTTTAGGATATCATTTTACGTTATTTTTGTGATTTAAATTAACATGAAGGATATTATATTGTGTATTTGCTACAAAGTTTTTGAAGGCTTACTTTCTTCAATTATCATAAACTATGTTTTTAGTGCTTAACTTTTATACTAACCTAATCAGACTATAAATTTCTTGAAGCTAAGTTCAATAAACACTCATCAAATTTATTATTTAATTCATTGTAATCAATCTTTACTCAGTTTTCTTTCCCTTAAATCACAGAAAACATTCAGGAGGAATACTGTTGCAGCTGAAATTGGTGGGAAATTCAATACTTTTCATTGAATTATTTAAAAATGTTCTTCATTGATGGAAAGCAGTTACATTTCAAATGCATTATTTCTAATGCCATTTCTGTGGTTTCAACTTTTTAATGAATTTCATGTAGGACAAATGATAATTTGTATATAAAGAACTTGGCAAAATAATTTGCTTAATGTAAATATAGTCATAATTAGTAGATACCCATCAGTATATTTTTGATAAATTTTCATGTATGGTAAAAGTTAAAGATGAAAACTGGTATTCTGACATAAAATTCAAAGTTGGAAGAGTCAGTTTGGGAAAGAAGGAGGTTTTTAGACTTTCTTAAAAAAAACTTTGTTAAAATCCTAGGACAAAATTTTCTTAACATTGTTGTTTGATCTAATGTCACGCTCTTTGATAACCATGTTTTAGAAAATGTGTGTAATCAAAATTAGTAGTGTTGCCTCTTTTAACTTGTCCATTCTATGTTCTAAAGCTTCATGTATGCCTGTGCCTGTCTTGGCCCAAACTTCTGGGAAAATCATGTGTTCTCTTTCCCCTCTTTGTTCATTTATAACTAAAATGACTTTGTTATTAAAGTATATGCAAATATAGAATCTTGTGTACTTTGTGCATTTTCTTTTTTCTTTTTGTTTGTGTTTGGTAAGAGAGCGTTGCTACCATTTGAATGAATGAATGAATAAATGAATGGGTACCATATACATTTAATAAAGTGATATTTTCAAAATCATCTGCAAGAAACATTTAAAATGTTTAAAAGCCATTTTTTACATAATGGGTTTTGCTACTCTAAGGCTGTATGGGACAACAGTTAGGAGTGTGGGTTCCTCGAGACTGCTGATGGTTCATATGTGTAATCCTAGTTTCTAAGGAGAGAAGTGAAGGTCTGGTTTTGAAGCCAGCCCAGGCCAGGGGGAAAAAAGTCAGATACATTCTTTCTCCAAGTAACCGGCAAAATGCCAGATTGGTGGCATGGCTTAAGTGGTATAGAATATTAGCTATGAGCAGCAAAAAGCAGTTGAGAGTACAAGCTCCTGAGTTAAAGCCTAGGCATCAGTAAGGAAAAAATGAAAGGGTTGGTTCTGAAGTCACTGGTTGGCTCTGCCACTTAGTAGCTTTGTGATCTTTGTGAAGGTTAACCTTCTAGCCACCTTTCTGTCACGGTGAAATGAGGGTGAGAGTAGCATCTGTTTCATAGTCCCAGTCCATGTAAAGTGCTCATTTAACCGTGTCTAGCCCATGGTACAGAGCTCAGTAAATATTAGCTGTAAGGGATGCATAGCCCCCGGATTGTACAGTATACAGTACACAGCATATACAGTGGTATTTGATAGCTATTTCATGCTGAGCTGCCAGTACTGTTACTACTATTGTTTTCCATTGACTGTTCTCCTGTAGGCAAGTTCTTGTGAATTATAACCAGTGACTGTTTATTTTCCCATCATCAGTAAGATTTTACAATATTTTATACACTATGGTCATCAGTACATTCCATGACTGAGAAAAGAATAAAGAAAGCCACTGCCTTACCTTTTAATATCAGTTAAAAAGTGGAGTTCTTCACATCCCACTCTGCAGACCACTATGCAAAACCAGGAAAGTGCTAGATCTACCATTCATTATCACCACCCAGAGGGAAAAGATTCCATTTTAATGCATGTCAGCAAAAGAACAGTGTTTCAGTATAAATACTGTGATACCATGTGGGTGGTTTATATCTTTGAAGAGCTTTTTCATAAAGCATTTTCAGTTCTGGTCTAAATTGTGGCTAAAATGAGTCACTGAAAGAGGAGCTGCTGTGCCCTGGTTACACTGAAATACACTGTTCTTCCTCTTGAATTCTTATTACCAAAATACTGTGCTGACAACTTAAACATTTAGTTGAGGACACCCAGCTTCTGAGTCCTTATGCTATTCATGTTTGCTTAAATTAGTAAGTTTGTCCACAAAATGGGAGAAAATCTTTGTCAGCTGTCCAACAGATAAATGGTTAATATTCAGAATATACAAAGAACTCAAAACATTAAACAGCAAGAGAACAAATAATCCAGTTAATAAATAGGCAAGGAAACTGAATCGTTTTCATAGGAAGAAATCCAAATAGCTAGTAGGTACATGAAGACATTTTCAACATCCTTAGCCTAAGGCATTTTCAACATCCATAGCCAAAAGGAAATGCAAATCAAAACCACACTAAAGAGTCTATCTTGCTCCACTCATGATGGCAGCTATCATGAAAACAGCAAGTGCTGGTGAGGATGCTGGAACAAGGAACCCTCATATACTTTTAGCAGGAGTACAAACTGATGCAACCACTATGGAAATCAGTATGGAGGTTCCTCGGAACATTAAAAATATGCCTTCCCTATACCTCTGCCATACCACTATTGAACGTGTCTCTGGATGACAGTAAATCAATAAAGCAGAAAGACACCTGTATATTCATATTTATTTCAGCATTAAGTGTAAATAATAGAAAAGTAGTAAATTTGAAATGCACAAAACATTTTAATGAATTTTAATGAATCTCTCATGTAATAGAAATGTCAAGATATTTCAACAACTTGAACATGTCTCATTTTGTTGAAAATGCATATAATAGTAATCTGTCTCATCTCCCGATTGTTTTTCTCTTCCCTTTCCTTTTCCCTTTCCCTTTCCTTTCTTTTCTTGTTGTTGGTCGTGGGGCCTGAACTCTGGGCCTGGGTGCTGTCCCTCAGCTCTTCAGCTCAAGGCTAGCGCTCTACCACTGGAGCCACAGCACCACTTCCTGCATTTTCCGCGTATGTGGTGCTGAGGAATCAAACCCAGGGCCTCATGCATGCAAGGCAAGCACTCTACCACTGAGCCAGCCCTTTCATTTTGTTTTGTTGGTTTGGTTTATTGGTGGCACCAGGGTTTGAATTCAGGGCCTCAGACTCTCAGATTGCCTGCTTCATTGGCACTTTACCACCTGAGCCACACTTTCAGTCCAATATTTTGCTGGTTAATTGGAGATGGACTTGCATAGTCTTTTCTGTCCGGACTGGCCTTAAACATTACTTCTCCAAATCTTAGCCTCCTGAGTAGCAAGGATTACAGGCCTGAGCCACTGGTGCCCAACTCTGTAAGGGTTGTTGGTTTTTTTCCCCCCTCATTATTATATAGCCTTGGAAAGGTACTGTTATGGTACTTGAAATAAAGTCTGGGTAGCATTTTTTTTATACAGTTGGTGCAGCTGAGTCAGTCAAATTCAAGTACTGATTAGAATAGAGGTTCATAAATATATTTTTATTTCTCATACAATAGTATGGAACTGAGTGCAAGCTTCCAGTACCTTGGTGAACATGTCTGGCCAGTTATTGCAACATGTAGTTTTTAAGCTCTGAGTTCATATTCCTTCTTACTTTAATTCTGAGTTCATATTCCTTCTTACTTTAATATGCCTTCCTACTTTAATTCTCTCTTTCTAATTGCAAGTTTTAGGACTCCAAATTCTTTCGTTTCAAGAAAAGGTTTGCAGTAAGTTCACATACAATAAGAGTAGTTTAGTGCTAGTAACCTTGAGGTAGGCCCGTTGCTGAACATGCATTCCTGCCCATTTTCTATACTAGCTGTTAAGTTAATCCACAGTATCTGGATATCAAGTTGGTTTGGAGATAAGGAGCCAGAACTCTTGCTCCACTCAGTGAGGCTAAAGTGCAAATGTCAGTTCCTCTAAACAAAGCCTGTTGAACATAACCTGCTTTCTAAGGCTAGGCTCAGATTTTATTGACAATTCCTAAGTAGCTAAGTGTATGCCAAGCATGCTTACAGAAAAGTAATGTTCACTCCCGGAGGAGAGGGCAATATTTTATTTGCATTTCTTTTTTAATATAATTTTTTATTGGAAAGATACTCTGCAGAGGGGTCTACAGTTACATGAGCAAGGTAATGAGTCCATTTCCTATCGAGCATTGTTACATGAGAGGGCAATATTAAGACTTCAGTAGACTTGGGAACACAAGCCGAAGAGACCATCAGCTTGGGAAAGAAGTCCATGCACACAGAACACGCAGGACTTTGGCAGCACTTAATTGTGATTGCGATCAGCTAGGTATCGTCTTTATCTTCAATAAGGACAGGAGGTTATGTTATTTTGCTTACCTTTCCCACCACCACAGTCTCATTGCAGTTTCACGAACTTGGCCCTTAGAAGGTATGGCATGAATGTAAGTAGTTTAGGTGGCTAAATACAAGAATAAGTGACAGCTCTTGTCTTTAAGGAGAAATGTTTGGTTTGGTTTGTAAGGTTGGGAATCAACACACAATTAGAATGTAACCACTTGGCAAGTGATGAGAAAAAGAAGTATTTGAGTGAACGTATCACAGAGGGAAATGAATGAATGGATGAATGGCTTTTAGGATGGCTGCATGGGTAGGGGCAGGGTCGGAAGTGGCTGTGGAGAGCTTAGATTTCAAGGAAGCTTTAGGTGTTTAAAGAAAATTATTTTGACAATTGTTTAAAAATAGTTTCTGGGCTGCAAAGATGGCTTGGGGTAGAGTGCTTGCCTAGCATGCAGGAAGCCCTGGGTTTGATTCCTTAGGACCACATAAACAAAAAGCCAGAAGTGGCACTGTGGCTCAAGAGGTAGAGGGCTAGCCTTGAGCAAAAGAAGCTCAGGGACAGCGCCCAGGCCCTGAGTCCAAGCCCCCGGCCTAGCAAAATAATAAAATACAAAGTTTCTGAATTATTCCTTCTTTTTTTAACTTCTGGGTTATGACATTGTGTGGGGGGCAAAGCGCCTGGAATTTAAACTGCTGGGAAGGGAGGGTGGAAGGCGTCAGGCGCGGGCACTGCCAGCGCCAGGTCCGTCTGCGGAAAACAGATTCCCACGCCCGCCAGCCTCCGCGTTTCAGTTCCGCCCCCGCGCTGCGTAAGGGTTGCGTAGCTTGTGTGCCGAGGTCTGATTGGCTACTTGGGGCGGTTATGGGGCGTGGCTTTGGGAACTCCAGTTTCCCGAGCTCTGATTGGCTGCGGGCGAATGGCTCCCACCCTAGTCCTTGTCCTACCTCCCTCGGAGGAGACGGGCTGCGGGGCTGCAGAGGGAGGACCGGTGGAGGAGGACGGAGCTGGGATTCGGGCACCTGGCTAAGAGAGGGCGTCCCTCCCCGGGTAAGCTGACCCCCTGTGCGGTCTGCTCGGTGGCCGCTCGCTTGCGGACCGCATGCGGGCCAGAAGCCCTGGCCTGGGCCAACCCGAAGCACCACAGGTGCAAAGTGTTGTGGCTTTCATTTTTTCCTTTGCTGGTAAAACCTTGGGATTGTTTTAAACTGTGAGCAGAGTTACAGAGGGGACTGTCTTGGCTACAAAAGTGATGTGTATTATACAAGTGGAATCCACTCTCCAGAAACTCTTACGAAACATGAAACCTCGTGATTTCACGCTGACCAGGAGCATTACTGGTTACAGCATGGAGGACGCGGGACTGACCAGGACTCCAGAAAAGGGGGGCGGGGGAGGGAGCAGAGGACGGGGGGGGGGGCGTCAAATCCAGGCTCTGTCATTTGTTGCAACCCTGGATATGTTTCCTCATCTTAAAATGGACTATATGGTACTAACCAGTTTGTATATGGG